ACTCAATCTCCCCTGGGCTTCGACGTACCACAACTACGACACTGATGCCGTCTTACTTTCGAGATCCCGTAGTCTAATCCCTCTTTATAATATCGAGATTGTGTGACTCGCAACTGCCACATGCATCATGTGTCCGGTTGTGGAAAGACTCTGTGAAGACACAGAGCTCAGAGAAGACTTCCGATTACTAGGAGGTGTGCCCCTGTTATTATCTCTACTTGGGTAAGAGAGAGGCTGGTCGTGTAGCTGTTGAGGTTTAAATCTCCCATTACTGTAGTAGGGACAGTGGAAGGAGCGAAGACAAGATATTGGCTCTCAAGTCAGTTGTTGCTTCTGCTGTCACTCAACTGGCTGTCAATGATACTAACTCCGCCCACTTCACCCAGGTACAAATTGGTGTGGAAAACTAACTGCTGCGATCCAACAACTTTCAACAAAAAATAACACACTTTAGTTGAGGCTCACCCGTGAACAAACACTGTATATACAGACTTAGTCTGCTATAATATAGTGACTAGCTAGGAAAGCTCACGGCCTATACCCATCTACTTGGTCCGTATCTACAGGAGAATGGAGTTTATCTTCTGTCAAAGCTGGTCCTACCCAACAGAGAGGGAGACAGCTCACTGGTGGAAACACTTCAGAGAAACTCCTGGAGAGCTCTGCGGTTAATATCCTACACAAAATGTTCTGCTTCTCCTCTCCTCTCCCTATCTCTTCCCTCCTTTCTTCCCCACCATCTCTTTTCTTAACCTCCCCCCCTATTTACTCTTTAAAACAACCCCCCCGCTCTCTTTCTCTCTCTCTCTGCAGGTATCTCTACAGTTCAGAGAGGAACAGAAGAAGGTTTCAGAAAGTCTTTCCTCCAAAACTGTTTGAGCAGTTCATAGACATTGGCCACTATGTCAGAGACAGTGGAGCTTACTCTCCTCTGCTCCAATCAGTCAACTCAATGTCTGTATGTAGTACATTTTAAAGGGAAAAGCATACACGTTTTTACAATCTTTCTTTACGAGAATGTGACGGTAGCTATTTATACATTAGGGTACTAAAGATGGTACAAAAAGTACTAAAAAAGGGCCCAGTGGAGGAATCAATTAAGAAACAGTTTATACTGCCACACTCTCTTAAGTGTGTAACAAAAAATGGAAGAATCCATGCATGTGTGCCACGTATATCTTTTTGCCATAAACAGTGCACCACTCACTGAGTGTGTTTGCTGTAGCAGAAAACTAACAGATCTTTCTCTGCATGTCTGGTCCACTGTGTATAGGAGGCAGAGTTGAGCGGTCTGCAATCAGCCATTGAAGAGACAAGTATCAATCGTTCTCCCATCTTCACGGTGGGTGGGTACAGCGCACATGAACTACTCGGCTCCGGGGCTTTTGGAAATGTCTACAAAGTCAGTTGTTTTAAACACCATCCATGTGTACAGCTACGCTGCTATGTTCCTTCCCTTTAGGTAAAAAAGTTGAATTCCGATCATTTCCTTGCGATGAAAGAGGTAAGCAAACAACAATTTGAAGCCAAAGTTTTATATTTGCACATTGCACAGATAAAGTCCAGCCTGCCCCTGATAGCAGGGACCACGGCTACCGAAAAGTCAGCCAGTATTGGGAAGATTATGAACGAAGTCAACATCAGCAGGGAACAGGTTGGCCAATATCCCTCACTAATAGAGTTCTCACTAATACAGGTGAACCCCTCTCTAAGACACCTCTGAAACTAGGACACCTCTTTAATAAGGGATATACCACCTTTTTCTTTCAGCAACAGAATATAGCATGTTGTGATCGTGTCTTTAATACTCTACTAAGCATGTTAGCTGGGTTCTTGCATGCAATTTATCACCTTGCTATAGTGTGGGCACATTTTCTTTCCTCAAGAACAGTTCTTTCATGCAACTTAACCATTAGTGAGGTGTCCTCAATAATTGTATTGAGAGGTTGAGGACACCTCACTAATATATACTTCTGGTCACATTGGTGTCCAGATTAAAGGGGTTCCGCCATTGCTAACCTGTGGTCTCTGGCCTTCTCCTAGCTTCACCATCCCAACGTGGTGCTCTACCACAAGTGCTTCCAAGAGGGCGGCCATCTTTACATCGTCATGGAGCTGATTGAAGGGGCTCCACTCAGTGACATCATTACATCACTCGCCGACAAGAGAGGAAGATTTGAAGAAGAGAGAATTTGGAGAATTTTCACACAGGTAGTGCCGTAAAGTTTTAGTTTGGGGGCTGGAAATCATTCAGAAGTCTTTGTACACTTTTCCTTCTCTTTCTCTTCCTCCAGTTGACTCTGGCTCTTCGCTACTTGCACAAGGAAAAGCACGTGATCCATCGCGACCTGAAGCCATCTAACCTCATGGTCGGAGAAAAAGACAAACTCACTATCAGTGAGTCGGCTAACAAGACCTGGAGCAGAAGACAACCCACATCCTTTCTACCTCACTCACTCTCTATGTTTACCACTCTCTCTGTCTTTTCCCGTTCCCTGTGCTTCGTCTCCTCTGCCATTTCTCCCTCAATCCGATCCCTCTCTTTGTCTCAATGTCTCTTTCTCTCTGCTCTCCCCTTACACTTGTCTCTCTGTCTCTTTCCTTCTCTCCCTCTCTACATGCCGCCTCTTCTCTCTGTAGCTGATTTTGGTCTGGCCAAGCAAAAGGAGAGCGAGTTTAGTGTAATGCAATCAACAGTTGGAACTCTTTCCTACTGGTGGTGAGGAACACTCCTTCCTCTCAATTCTGCTGACTACCTCTCTTTCTCTACTACCCTTTCCAATCCCTCTTCATGTTTTCTAGCTTTGTCTTATACCTTAACCTATAAATATTGCTCCTGTCTTCTATTTTATTTACCTCTCTTTCAAACCTCTATTACTGGATCATCCTTTCTCTTCTCCACAATAATAATAGCCACGTTGCACTTTTTATCTTCTTCTTCTCTTCTTCTTCCAGTCCAGAGTTGGTTAAAAACGAGCCCTATACCGAGAAGGCGGACATCTGGGCAGCGGGCTGCATTCTGTACCAGATGGCCACACTCCAGGTCCCATTCCATACCAACAACATCCTCATTCTCGCCAAGAAGGTACAGTACATGCACTGTATTAAGTAACCCTTAAATATTGTCATGTGATGGTCACATGATAGATTGCAGAGGTCAACTACCCACCAATTCCTGAAGGACACTATTCCGCACTTCTCTCGTCCATTGTCAGCAGGTACGTACTTAACCCTTTAATCCCACAGCTAACATTAACCCTTTCAAAACATCCACCCGCCTACTGACTAACCCTCTCAATATTTAACCCTCCAAATAAAATTATGGCTCCACTTATTAATTACCCTTTAACAAGCATGCTGTACTGGTGCTTTGAAAGTTTTACTTAAAACCATTTGACATGTCAAACGTATTGTGGAATGTTGACTCTCTACTAATTAACAATGATGTCATCTTCTGGAGGTGTTTGACAGGGGAGGCGAGAGAGAGACCGGACAGTGTGGAGTTGGGTGCTCTGCTTGCCTCGCAGCTCATGGCAATGGCTGACAGACTGGCAGGAGTGGCAGACCAGCTGCAACTTAGGCTGGAGAGAGAGAGGCAGCGAACACTCAGGTACATATAAAGGTACATGGGTCTCAGCGGCATAAAGGTCTGGGGGTAAGGTGTATATCCAGAAAAGACCCCTCCAAGTAGAGGACACGTGGCTAACTATAAAGGACATTGTGGTTCTGTTTCAATACCTACTGACCTCTGGCTCTGAATAAAGGACACTTTCGACGCCCCCTCGTTCAGAGGTTGAGATTTTGTCAAACAAGCTAACGCGTTTCCTTTCAATATACAGGCATCGACAGCGGTACCACCATCTGATGTCATTGACCACACCTACCAATCTCGAGGCCACACCTACCCCCAGAGTCGGCTCTGCTGGCCGCAGCAGCCAGAGAGGCTCCGAGACATTCCTCCATCACCCTCCCATCGTCACAAGTCCCACCTCCTCACACTCTCCCTCTTCCACAATCGTCACCAGGACCACACCCTCTTTCCCTCACAGGACACTGGAGCCACACCCACCTCCAGAGTCAGCTGGAATGGAATGGGGACAAAACTATTCCCCTGTTCTATTCCACAAGGAAGTCGGTGGAATGGAATCGAGACTGGAATGGGATGGAGACAGTGACAATGTGTTTCCTGATAATCAGATGACATCATCACCTGGCAACCTCACCGGTTTCCATGGCGATGCACCTTTAGAAGCATCGCCATTGGGAGTGAAAAGGGAAAGCCCCTACTCGTCGAAAGTGGCTCGTGGTCGTAGCTATTCAGCTGTTGTCCCCGGACACGCCCAGCGACATCATAGTGGGCGTGGTCATGGGAATGTTCGGAGTCAGACAGCCAGCTGTGAAAGTGGGCGTGGTCTACCAGGAGTAGGCGTGGTCTTTCCTGGAAGTCCTCTAAGATACAGAACATCGTGTGAGCTTCTCAAAGCACTGCCCTCTTTTATGAGCCTTCATTCGCACAAGAGTGGAATCCCTCTAAATCAGACACCTGGCCCAGCTCAGCTGGCACCATTCCAATTAGGCAGATGTAGCTTTTTGTTCTAAAATAGGTTCACAATAGACTGAGTTGCCTTGTCCCGCCTTGTCGTGCCAGCTACATGCCGCGCTGCGCGTCGTGCAGCGAAGAGAGAAACAGTTCCATCCTTGTGGCATGGCAATGTGACATAATAATATTATTGTGAACCTAGTCTTATTAGAGAGGCTAGAGAGGTATTCTTTGAGCGGTGTTTCACCACATGTTTGTCCCCTTATAGCCTCGTCTTCACTCCTCTCTCTCTCTTCTCGCCAGCTGAGAGAGATCTCAGACCCAATTACCCAACTGATGGCCACTTTACATCGCCTCCTCTCCCTCACCCTCTCCGCCGCTCCCTCGTTACAGCCTCATTCCGCAAGGCTCCTGGTCCTAGACCGATACCAGAGGTCTCTGTTCCATTCCGACATGTCCCCAGAACAGGTCAAAGGTGAACTGCACAGACTCAGCACCTGTTCTGCGGAGGGGGTGTGGCTTTTGGAAGAAGGGGCATGGTCAGTTGGTCCACGACTACTGAGCAAAGCATTTGGAGAAATTCCAGGTGAGCCCCACCCATATCGTGAATATCATTAACATTATGTTTCTAACTTTGGGCACAGGTAATGCCGGTACTCTCAACCCTCTTGCTAATTTCAGCTCGTTTGAACCTTGCACTCTGACCTACGACCTACTAGCTGCTATGATTGACAGTTTACATGATGAGAGAACACTGCGATTGTCGCACCATCTCACATAATGCATAATATGTGACACTCTGTACACATAATATGTGGTATAAATAGATGTTTATAACAAGTGACTGCGAGATAATTATAAAAATTGGTGGGTTGACCACAGTGGTCTATTGAGAACTATGGTGACCGTTGTTGCTAGGACCACAGCGGTCTATTGAGAACTATGGTGATTGTTGTTGCTAGGACCACAGCGGTCTATCTTTGATACCGCACTTGTCCTCCAGGTAATAAACGTACTCTGCTAGCTGCATGCGGTCGGCTAGGCCTTCGTTACGAGAACTGATACAGTTGATGAACTGCTCGCGACTAAGTGATAAACTGCACGTCTTTTCATGGTATCTGTGTCTCAGCGATGGGTCGGGAGCCTTCAAAACCTCAATTCCGGTTTTCAAAACCCGTTCGAACAGGTCGACGTCCTCCCCGCCCCAACCGGTTATACCGGTATCGAATCCGCCACTGGCAAGGTAGTCTGATTTGTACATGCAGGCCATTCCGTAAGAATAACTGGCCCAGTGTCCATGCTCTCTCTTGATGCCCAGTTCTGCCGGTCTCCTCTTGAATCTGTACACGTAATCCATGTCGTAGTACTTGAAGAATTCCGGGTAGTACACACGAGAACCTTGAACCGTGTTCAGCCGGCAACGGTCAAGAAACGAGGCATCGAAAGTCATATCGACGTCACAGATGAAGGCTAGTTCAGAATCTTCGATGTGTGACATCCCCGTGTCAAGTCCGACGCTGCGTGTGAACGATCCCTCGCCAGTGACGACTGTGAAATCGGCGTCAGGATGACGCGCCTGATACAGAGTTATTGTGTGGTTCACTGACTCGACCTCTGACCCAAACACCACCAGAATGAGTGCCGCATTCTGGTTCTCAAGCAGAACCTGACGTTCGTAGTTCAGCAGAAACTCGTTGAAACGACTGCCAACTCTGCTAATCGGGACGATGATATTGACAGTCTTAGTCAGTACCCCTTCCCCGCTGTCCTCGTGCAGTACCAGACCCGGACCATGCGGTCTCAGCACCCTCCACCTCCTCCTCTTCCTCCTCCTCTCCCTCTTCTCCTCCAAAATAACGTCCAAGACATACTCTCTCCCTCTAGTCCCACTGTATCGCAAGTGGCAGCTTATAAAACGCCACACAATCCACTCAGTCGCCTCTCGTAAGTTGACCGTGGATATCACCTTATTTAGAATGAAGTTTATTTCCTCTCGTAGCTCACCACCTGCTGCATAAACTGGCACTATTGTCGTGCTCTGGTACACGCCCCTGGGTGTCATATAAGACCACGCGACAACCTCGTAGCGGTTCATCGCCTTGAAGATTGGTGGCATCTCGTCGAGGACGACGTCCGATTCAACAGGCGTGGATAAAGGCGTGCAGTTGTTGGAGGAACGCATGCGGCAGTAGCGTGCGTCCGGTTCGGTCAGCGGGGCCGCAAACTCCGACGTAACCTGTTTGCAGATCTGGTTAGACAGGTTTTGAGTCAATGCCAGTCGCTGTGCCTGACTCTGAAGTGATCGTGTCTGGACAAACTGGTGAAGAGCCAACATGTGCTGAAATTCGGTGACCGGGTACAGAGTTAAGAGGTTCTGGAATTGACTGCTGTACCACAGTCTCTCGGGAGATCGTGAGTAGCCATCAGGATCACTGACAAAATATGACTGGGCCTAAGAGAATGAGAAAGATCAACTGTAAGGCGAAGAAGGATATATATACACACTGAGAAAAAAGAGGAGAAATAGAACAGTTTTATAAGGGGCATATATATAGCTAAACATACATTGGTGTAGTTGTCCTGTTTACTTTCCCTTGCCTTTCTATACCTCCATATCTTGTATCATTACCCCATACATTGGTGTAGTTGTCCTGTTTACTTTCCCTTGCCTTTCTATACCTCCATATCTTGTATCATTACCTCATACATTGGTGTAGTTGTCCTGTTTACTTTCCCTTGCCTTTCTATACCTCCATATCTTGTATCATTACCCCATACATTGGTGTAGTTGTCCTGTTTACTTTCCCTGCCTTTCTATACCTACCCCATAGCTTGTATCATTACCCCATACTTGGTGTAGTTGGTCCTGTTTACTTTCCCTTGCCTTTCTATACCTCCTATCTTGTATCATTACCTCTACATTGGTGTAGTTGTCCTGTTTACTTTTCCCTTGCCTTTCTATACCTCCATATCTTGTATCATTACCCCATACATTGGTGTAGTTGTCCTGTTTACTTTCCCTTGCCTTCCATATCTTGTATCATTACATTGGCCCCCTTCAACTATGCCTCTATAGTTGGCAAGCATCTAATCACCCCCCCTTAAGTTATTACTGCCTCACACTGGACTTGAATGAGAGAGACATGAGATAAGGGGAGTAACTAATGAATAGATGTGAGAGGGAGGGATGAAGGGGTGGGAGGATTGGAGTAATACAGAGACAGGGATCTGAGAACAATCCCCCGGGAGGATCATCGTGGGAGGATAAACCACAACATACATTGGAGTCACAGTATACAGTCCACAATCTGTCCATCATGCTGAGCTATGCTGTGCATGGCTTGTAATGAGTAACCACACCCAACGATCAGACTTTCTCCATGGAAGTGAGAGATTGGCCAGGTGAGAATAATATACACCTTTTGTGCAATAGACATTAGTATCATCTTTGCATTCTCACAACCAAGTACATGTGCAATGGCAGGTGTATTGTGTGGTATGTAATCAGACACCCTGAGCTCATTGCCGATGGCAATGTCAGGGAAACCACCATGGTGCAGCCAAGCTAATATTGCTATATTTAGCAAACATTCACTCCAGGATGAGTGGGTAATCATCTTTCTAGAAAGTAGCAAAACATGCACTACTGTTGCACCACCATTTACATGTAAACATCACTTTGAAGGGCTTGTGGGTGTGTTTGTGTTATTGTAGCCATAGCAACTCAGCACTTAATTGGTATTGAAACTTCACTTTCAATGCTTGTGTGCATTTCTCTAGTGCCTCTCTCTCCCCCCCCTCTCTCTCTCTCTCTTCCTCGTACTTTATTACAAATTAGGACTGCTGTACAATACCTGGGGTATCAAGGTGGCCCAACTCAGCATGCACTGCTGGCTATGTAACACTGTCCCTATTAGTAGTATTGTCATGATGTCCTGGCTCTATTAGGATTGTACAGCACATGTCTACAGATATTGACTCTGCGATCAGTCTTGTAAGCTTGGCTGAGCTGGCTAACTTCATTGTTCAGCCAGTAAACTGCTGCATTTGGAGGTGGACAATTTCATGCTTGACTTGTACATACGTATACTTTCACGTTTGACTTACGTGAATAGAGGGAAGAAGAGAGAGAAGGGTTAAAAGCTTGCTTCTAGTGGCTCTATGTATATACCACTGAATGTTGGTACATACATAGTGGTTTAAGTGCACGTGCTGGCTTACAGGGTCAACAAGGTCAAATTGAGAGTGCCCCATGCTATATTATATAGTGACCTGCACTCTGTGGTTTTATGGTTCATGTCCTTCAAGGGGAGGTTTTTTCACTTGGTCGAAATGCAGTCCATAGTGGAAAATAACTACAGGCTTGAATGAATAGAGGCACGAATATCAGTAACTCCAGTTGATATCCTCGTGACAACTGCATTGATCCAGGAGTTGTGTAGAACACCATTACTAAGCAATGACTACTAGAGTAGTCGTGACAATGAAGGAGGTATTAAGGAGCGCGCACCTGGTGCAAGTTCTCTAATATCAACACTGTACCCATATCATAGTATATACATTATGCGATTGTTTGCGAACATTGCAGCATGTGGCTACAAGGGCAATATACAGCTGCTTCGGACCTTGTTGGGACTTGTTTAGAAAAGAGGTATTGTATTATATATACAAGAGGTATAATTATATATTATACAAGAAGAAAAAGAAGGGGGATAAGGGGGAGGGATGGAGGAGGGAGGGAGGAGAAAGAGGACCACTTTACCTCGTGAGAAGAAGTACATTGGATCCCGACTCTCCGACTAAAGCATCGTCCGAGTTCCACGTCACCTCGGCCCAGTTTCAGACCGTGACTAGTGTTGGTACTAGACCCAAACATCCCCGCGTGCTGCTTGCAGCTGTCGAGATGCTCGGCAACGGACACGAGCGCCGCGTTACTGAGTACAATCCCAGGGCCCCACTCACAGAAATACTCAGTTGGTAAGAGATGAAGCCTGGCCATTACGTCACGGTCTGTGCTGGCAAACCTACCCATGTAGACAGGTTTTGATGGGTCCAATCTTCCAAGCATTTCTTCAACGTCTTTCAGAGCTACGTACGTGTTTTCTGAGGCCAGAAGAAACCAGTGGTAGTGACGGACGTAGCTAGAACGGAGGTAACGTAGTACGTTAAACACTTGTCGGAGGTTTCCGCCGTTCTTCAGGTTGTAGTCGTGCATGTGGCGGAGCCAATACACGCGAGGAATAGAGGGGCCTTCCCCGGCCACAAAGATAGCATAGTCCACGCCGCTGTCGTAGCTGCCGAGAGAAGGCGACGCCCACGTTTCTCGCAGCGTTGTTAGCGTGTCGTTGAGACGGCTCCGGCCGGTCAAAACGACGACCAGAAGCCGTTTCTTGTTCCGTAGTTCGCTCGCTAGGGTCCAGGCGCGGTCCGCAGAGTGGGAGAAAAACCCCGCAGACGGCTGAAGGTACGACGATATTCCATTAGTCCCGACCGGGTAACGCTCGCTGGTCATCATCAACCGGCCGCTCCACCAGATGTAGAACGCGGAGCTGAGGAGGCAGCCGGCCATGCAACCGACCAGGAATGCTGCTCGATTCTTCATGTTGTGTCGGTCCACGGCCAAGCCCCTCCGTCTTCCTCGCGGCATCATCATTCTCCTCGCAGTTTCTCAACATCGCTGCCCTGAAACAAAGCCCGGCCCGTAGCCGTAACTATGGAGAACGCCGCAACGTCTTCGGAGCCACACCCAAAATCTGCGGCCGCATGCGCGCATCAACGTGGCGGCGGTATAGCAGTGCAGCTAGCCGGCGGGGAAGATTAGTGTCAACGTCCGATAGTCGCACTAGCTACGTACATTTGGGTATATAAACACTTTTTTTATTTTGGGTCAGTACCCAGTTTTCATTTGGGTGCACACACTAGCCAGCGCAGCGAATAACACAGGTGAAGATGCTCCAACCCAAAAAAAACACAGGAACATTTATGACTTGAAAGCGCTGCTCAACTTGTCCTGTGCAACCAGGTAATCAGCGAGGTCGGCTGGAGGGAAGTGGGCGTGGCTCATCACCAGAGCCTCGCAGGCTTTTCTTCCAGGCAAGGAGTTGAGACTGCTGCAAGTCCTGGCCGGCCAGAGCCGGTAGATCCCTGGATCTGGTCCCTGGAACGCCTCCAGCTCACCGCCGCTATCCAGTAGCCGCTGGTAGAAATACGAAGGGAATGAAGCGTCTTTGAATCTCCCCACACCCAAATAGTCTCTTTTTACAACGCAGAAGTTTTTGCTGGAGTAAAAGGCCCACTGCCCAGTCCAGTGATTGATTGGGTAGCTGGAACTGGAGTTTACCAGAGAGGTTTTGGGGTTTGAAATGTAGACAGAGAATGGGGTTGGGAAGTAGATTTGTTTACCCTGTCTTGTGTTGTCACGGCAACGGGACCAGAAATCGGATCTAATCCGAGTGTTGATGTCCGTGACAAATGCTATGTCGCTGTTGCTCAAGACTGACATGCCCGTCTCCACCGCATGGGGTAATGAGAACTGCCCCTCCGATATTGCAATCGTTACCACAGCTTTTGGGAAACCACGTGTCAACTGCTTTACGATTCCCTCGACGAGATCGGCATTCATCTCGCTGAAGATAACTATCACTAACGAGAGGGTAATCCCCTTTCGCAGTCCCTGCTCTACAAAGTTTCTCAGAAATTCCCGAAACCTGCCGTCGACGATTAGAAGAGGGAGAATGACGTGAATTGGTCGCGTCTGTGTCGGCTCAACGGAAACAGCTGTCTCCTGCGACAACTGCCGCAGAAGTCTGACTGATATAAATTTGACTCTGTTTTTCTCCAACTTGTTACTCAGCTTCACTCTCAGTCTAAATTCCCTCCCTGTGACTGGAAGAAAACGTACGTAGCCGTGAAGTACCTCTTCCATGTTGAAATCCCGAAAGTCTGGCATCCGGAGAAAGTATTTGCGAAGAAGCCCCTCCATGTGTTTCAGCTCAGCCTGGAGCGAGGACGAGAGTGGGCGACGAGGGGAGACCCCTCCAATATCAAACAACGAGGTACGGTTGAAGAACTTCCAGTGGGTTTCGTCGTCATAAATGTTGGTCGGATTAGAAAACACTGCCGTGCTGCGATTCACGAGATAGTTGCTCCCCTGTCCTCCTTCTCCTCCCTCTCCTCCTCCAACTGACATCTGAAGATTACACCGTCCTGTGGACACAAATGCAGGCGGGACCAAGTGATGCGGCAGACTGCGACAAACATCATTAGTATAGCTCATCAGATCAAACAACTCCTCGTATTGCCGCTCAAACTCAAGTGTCTTGTAGAAATGGTGGATGGAGAGCATGTTCCGCTGGTCTTTCACGGGGTGCAAGCTGACAATCTCTCTGAACACTGGCTTACTCCACAGACCAAGTGGGCGGAGACTGTCTCCTGAATAGTCTGTGTGAAACTTCAGTCGAGACTGCATCAGGTAAAAAAATTTTTTTACACCATTAATTTTTTTGCTGAAGGTAATAATTATTATTTTGTGTAGAGTGAGAGTATGCATCTTCTAACATTTATACCTCGGCAGAAGTGGAGCACTGAAAGTCGAGTTTTCGACTGATGCAGCGTCCGATTTCGACGTCGTCATCGTTCCATTTCTGTGAGCTCTGCTGGTCATGGAGGAACACTGCAGACAGGAAACAGAGACATGTATACTCTCGTGATGGAGTACATGTGCAACCACTCTTATCAGGACACCAATGGGAGTTATGGGACAGAAGAAAGTGTCCACATTATTAGTGAGGAGTCCTTATTTCAGGGGTCGAAGTGTATGCAAGAAACTGGAAAAGAAAAGCTGTCCTTATTAATTGAGAGGTGTCCTTAGGGAGCTAGGATACCCACTGTAGAATTATGCAAACAATTATGGTCCTAAAGACAAAGCACACAACACAACTATCACCAAAGCTACAAACCACAGAAAAACTTATAAACACACCAGCAGACGTAACAAATATTTTGTTACAGCATTCTCTCCCATTACCCATGCAGTGCATGAATGAATGATGCAGTCTGAAGGGAGTGAGCTGGCTCTTTGCTCTATAGAGGACAGTGTGTATTCAGACATCCATTGATGTCTACAGCACCTCTCTTACAAGGTAAGCAGACAGTGTGCTAACTCAATGGTTAAAGTAGGCATGTTCGTACTCATGATGAGCTTAATTAACACATGTGTGTCTGAATTTAGTTTTCCAGTGGATTCAGTGGTGCTTGGAAAGTGCGCAATGATGTTGTTTCTCAACGTGTTCCCACTGCTATTTGTATTGCAAACCAACAGAAAACCGTAGGTCCAAAGTTTGGTGATATACTAACCTGCACTGAGGCACTGGTTGAGGTGGGGGCCTATAGCTCTCATGGCAGCATTACTGAACACCACTCCAGGTCCCCCCATGCAGTAACGCTCGTGAGGCAGAAGATGGAGCCGGTCTAAATCCCCGTCCTTCCCCACCCCCGCCCGCCCGAGGTAAACCCTCTCGTACGGACTCATTCTCTTGAGGAGGTCCGTGAGGAGCTCCCCGCGAACGTACATGTCGTCGTCCGCTCTGATAAACCAGTTGTACTCGTTGATGAAGTGGTCGTACATGTACTGCATCACAGCAAACGCCTTTTTCAACGGAGGGTAGACTTTGTCCGGAATGCCTTTCAGCTTTATGATCGGCAAGTGAGATAGGTTTGCCGATATTTCGCAGTCTTCACCGACGAAAAAAACAACCCCGCCTTCAGTGATATCCTTCGCCCATGTGTCGTACACACCCTGTGCCCGAGTGTGCAGGTATTCTTGCTGAGTTAGAATCCCTATCAACATAGTATCCTTGATTAGGTATTCCTCTCTCAGTAATTTGGGGACCCCTAGCGGTATTCCGGGGTATAGGTCGGGGTTTGACGGATAGAGAAAGTTTTTCAGCTCGGTGATGTTTTGCTTCGTGAGGCCGGGCACCGTCTCCCTCACGTGAGTCGCGTTGACGGAGACTTGGGAGCGCAGGAAGACGAGTTTCGCCAGCCGTCGTAATCTCTCGGCCTCTTTGTCGCAGACGCAGCCGCTCAGTTTGGAGCTGCAGTCCAGCCGAGCCCCCAGAAATAGCGCCGCCGAGGAGGAGGACGCGGGGCGAAGAACAGTCGGGTTTCGGCCGCTCGTAAAGATGAGCGTCACGACAACGCCGCAAGCGAACCCCGCGACGAGCATCGTCAGCGCTGGAAGGTTCTTCTTCAAAAGTCGCATCTTTCCTCTCTTTCTTCCTCTTTCTATACGTACGTGGGGCGCACACCCAGACAAACATACAGACCCCGGCTTACTCAGTGCGAGACTCAGTGTTGGTGCAGAAACTCACGGAATGTGAATAGCGCATACAAACGCTGCGCACTGCGTATGCGCGCAGTCAGTTTGCGCACCCCTAGCTCAGCGATGTCGGCTGTTGAATAACTTCCCATCTCTTTATCGCTCTATATCGCTATTTATCGCTGTGCATTGCAGCCTGAGGGAGAAAAGATGAAGAAAATTTCGCCGTGGTTGACGCTCATCATCGGCTACGTACTCGGCTACGTTCTCTACCCGATGCTGCAGATGTGGACTTGTCGCTGCGACCGTTCCATCGATTACCTTCCCGAAGAGGCCTTCAGATCTCTCGACAGTGGAGGACAGGCTGCAGGGGCCGGATTATTAGCTTCTGCGCGCGTCTCGCGGGACGATTTCATTCGCCGCTACCTGCACCCGCCACCCGCCGCGACGTGGCTACGCCCACGGGCTCTGGGGAGACCCAGAACCCTTTCGGGAGAGTATCAGGTGCAACATAAACTCTTTGTTGCCGTCATTACGGCCGGAAAATATCTCCCGACGCGCGCTCGAGCCGTCTACGACACCTGGGGCCGCAGCGTCACGAAGATAGTATTTTTCGTCGGTGCAGACTGCAACACTTCTCACCCCTCCGTACGAGACCTGCCCATTGTCAGGCTACCAGGAATTCCCCGATCAAGTCTACCCTCCGCAGAAGAAAGTATTCGCAGTCTTGCACTACATCCACGAGCACTACATCAGCGACTTCCAGTGGTTCGTGCGTGCTGATGACGACGTTTACGTGCGCGGGGAAAAGCTGGTAAACCTACTGAGCACCTTCAACTATAACGAGATGGTGTATCTTGGACTTGCGGGAAAAGGAAAAGCAGAGGATATCAGTCGACTTGGTCTTCAACCACACGAGCATTATTGTATGGGTGGACCTGGGGTAGTGCTGAGCAAGGCTGCTCTGAGGGAGCTGGCTCCATATCTCGACCTTTGTCTGAGTGCAGTTGATCAATACAATGAGGCAAACCCTGATAATCCGTGGTATAACGAGGACGTCGAGCTGGGTAGATGTGTGAGCAGATCAATCAATATACAGTGCTCAACATCAGCTGAGGTATGTCGCATAATGCATTAATTTTCCAGCGAAGACGTGACTAGATTCTCTTCACTGAGATATTATTAGACACCGACTGCATTGGGTCATGTTTGGTTAGCTCGCTGAACAAAAGGTGAAAGGCAAAATAAGCGCACCAATGGATAAAGTTGTGTTAGCTAACATTGCTTGGGGGGACTAGCTGCATTGAACGGAACATGAACCGGAACTGCTCAACAGTTCTATTCATGTAAGCCATTCACACCCTACATAGAAGGGTGTTGCTCTTCCATTGACTGGTACAAGCAGTAGCTATTAACTGTAGCTACTTGCATATCACACACATACTCTATAGCTGGAGGTGTTTTTTGCAAGGTTTTTCAAAGTGACCGCTAGCTACAGCAGAAAATTCCGGTGTATCATTTTATCTTCATAATTTTTGTGCACTGCCACTGGTACTGAAAACAAGACCGAACTTATAGGTAACGAAACATAGCATCAACAAAATTCTCACTGGCTATAATATGGAAGGTAAACTCCATAGTTTTTGGCCCTTTTATTGCAGTCAGTTTATAGTCCCTTAGCTGCATTATGCTCCATGCACACGTTAGCTGATTATATAGCTAGGTGGGGTCCTACCTCCATCCAAAACTAAAAATTGTTCTTTACTTTTGGCATCATCAACAGAAACTTTGCCTCCAGCAGTTGACCAAACTTTTGCCGTTTACTTTTGTTCCTCTGTGTAAACATTGGTGCAGGGAAGGTCGTACTTCATCCAGGACTATACGTCGGCAGCCCTCCATCCACAGAGCCTCTGGCAGAGCCCTGTCTTTCGAGATCTCATCACCCTTCATCCCATCAAACAGCCCGAGAACCTGTACGCCGTCCACCACTACTACGAAGTGGCTCGGGCCGGAAAACTCCAGAAACAGTTGCAGGAAATTGAAGAAGGGATAAAATCAATCTGTGAGAACATTCCGGAAGGTTTGGCGCCGCCATGGCAGCTAATGCCGAGCTGCTCTGTCCAGCTGTGTTCCGGTGGTTGGACAAGAGTGGGCGTGGCTACATACTCCACTCCGTTCACCGTGGCAACCAAACTCCCGAAACTTTACAATCCTCCAAGTCTCTATGAGCTTGTCCCGTGGGAGCATTTCAGCACGTCTACCATAAACTAAAGTGCAGGGTTCTAGTCCACCGAAACACCGGGGGGGACAGAGCGGGACAGGCCGAGAGGGCAGGGCGGGCGGGGGACTAAAAAACGGACGAAAACCCGAAGCGAAAACACAACGAATAAAAAAAGCGGGAAAAAAAACGAACGAGACCGAAAAAAACACGACAACGCACGACGAAAGGGGGAAAATGGACGAAACGAATGGAAAAACGAACAAACACGAAAAAACGAAGAGAATTAAACAAAAGAAAAACTCCGAACAAAACGAAAAAAAAACGAACAACAACGAAAACGCGAAAAACGACCGACAACCAAAACGAACGAAGAGACTAACGAATAACGAAAAAACGACGCGAGATATTAAAAAAAAACGGAAGTACGAGACAAAAACAAACACGAAAACAACAAAACCGCCACAACGAAAAAATAAAAAACAAACTCTATAAACAAAAAAAAAAATACTACTAAACTACTAAAACCAATAGAAAAACGTGAACGTCTGACCTGGTACGACTGAACTGAGGCCTGTGGAAGTCATTCAAGGCTACACCAGATTCAGCGAGGACGTTGGGAGGGAGTACATCCTGGATCTCATGTTTGTCGAAGCCGACGATGAGACAAGTGTCCTCAATAAGAGATTCCGACTCGATTTAGACCTCGCTGAGCCCGACATTACATGGTGGTTGGTTTTTGTGTTGTGTTGTTTTGTGCTGTTGTTGGGTGTGCGAGCCAACTACTCCCAGCCCTGAAATTGAAGCCAGAGTAAACAGTTCATGCTTCCCGTCTCTGCGCGCTGGCTGACAGAACCTTTACGAATTTCATGGAGTGGTACTTTCGCACTAGTCTTCACAGCACGGAGCCAAATGTCCATCTCATTCTGTGCGTGGTAGGAGAGACACGCAAACCCTCTTCACAGTCCAGACCATGGTCGCCAATCTCACAAAATTTCAGCCGAGATCTCGAACGACAATCCTCTCTGGTACGCCCGATCTCTCTCCGACTGGTTCTCTAGAACTCGGAGTGTCCGTCCTGACCAACACGGACCTGGTTTTCCTGGCAGACACCAGTTTGAGAATTCGCTCGTTTTTCTTTGACTCTTGTCGCGCAAACGCACTCCCTGGCAGTCGCGTCTATTTCCCTGTCCCTTACGTCATGTTTGAAGAGCCGCGGAGATACCCTGGTCCAGGGCGGTGGGGTTTCTACTCCATCTCCTCAGTCTGCATATACAAGTCAGATTTTCTGAGATTGTCAGACTCTCCTACCAGGTGCTCTGTTTCCCGGAGGGCAAGTGTGCAGCAATACCTGGAGCTGTTTCAAGCACCGGATCCCGGACTGATCGCAGTTGGGACGGC